TCTGCCTCTGAGAAGCTAACAAACGATGAGACAGTGTTGGAGGGGAAAACACAGAGGTGAAGGGACTTTGGTAAGGTCACCAAGGATATCAGTACATGGCTGGGAAGAGAGGCCAAAGCTGCTACTTGCTGGCAGCATGACTGCCTCCTGGCCCATGGAGCACCTGGGAAGCAGGGTTGTGATGCTACAGCTCAGTGTTGGGTTTTGCTGGTGGCTTACACACCCTGCAGAAGACTAGAGGTTGCCATTTGCATCTCCCTCTGTTAATTTGGGTATCCAAGCTGAGTGCTGCTCCAGCCCTGATTCACAGTGCTCTGCCTGTGTGCCTGACAGCTCACCTCCTGTATGGGAACCAGCGGATGCCAGTGCTGGGCTGGAAGATCGTTACCTGAGTTAGCTCCAGCTCACCATGTTCATTACCGCCAGCCCTTAGACGTAGGAGAGCTGCGGGGTCGCATTTACTGACCAAACCCAAACCAGTTCACCTCAGCTGGGATTCAATGCACCACTGCCTGCTCTGACATTAGCTCAGAGGTGGCATCACAGTGCCCTATGTGGCAGCCAGGGCAGAGCCAAGGGTGAGTGCTGAGGGTTGCGTAAGCATGGCAGGGTTTGCTCATATGCGAGCCTGACGCTCGCCTCTGGTGCCGCTTGGCCCCTGGCCACCTCTCCCTGCCAGCGTGGAGGGTCAATGTGTAACAGTGCCTGGGCCTTCACCTGATGCATGCATCCCGGCAGGCACGATGGGGCACATTCCTCGCTGGGATGTGGGGCTGTTGCCTCGCTCCCACCTGTGCCTGTCTGGTTTTAGGGTGCAGAAGCCGCCCTCACTCCGCATCTGCTTCTTGCAGAAGCCAGCGCTTACCCTGCGTGGGAGCTCGCATACCCCCGGCGGTGGGGCTTGGGGCAGAAAGGCCCGGCTGCTCGGGGTGAGCGGGGATGGAGCCCCTCTCCCTGCAAGGAGCAAGGGACCCGGAGCCTCCCGGCCCGCCCAGAGGCCGCGGACCCGGACGGCGCGGCGGCGGCCG